GAAAATTGGGTAACCTTCGTTTTCTTCAAAGGAAATCCCCTATAATAACACTACATCAAAGGAAAGTAACTTTTGTCGGAAACATGTTTTTTCGAATTATCGTAAATATCTACGATAATTTTTTATCCGTTTAACACTAAATTTTGAAAGATCGTGAGTAGACCATTTAGAAATGACCACGTCGAAATGACGACGTCGAAACCTCTTTGAACATCATCATTTGTATAATATTTGTAAAGGTCAAGGCCATTAGAGATTGTAACTTTTATTTTCATTTTTTAGTTATAACGGATAAAAAATAATCGTAGATATTTACGATAATTCGAAAAAACATGTTTTCGACAAAAGTTACTTTTCTTCGACGTAGCGTCATTATAGGGGATTCCCTTTGAAGAAAACGAAAGTTACCCAATTTTCGCCGAATGCAGCGCCACCTATTAGAAATAGAAAAAAAAAGTTCAGACAAAAGTTACGTCTTTTTGGATGTAAAATCCGAATCTGTAATAAAAAGTAAGGGTTCCTATTTAAGATTTCAAAGTTACCCCCCGCCCCATCCCCACGGGGGGCGGGAGGTGGATAACTTTTATGGGATTGAATAGCGCCTTCGAAACTATTGAGGGTTTATTTGGAACATTTTTGTCGTACAATGCTTATTTTTCGAGATATTTAGCAGTCTCAAGTTAAAAAAAAACCCTGTATATATATAAAAGATAGTAGAGAGATATAGGGATAGCTTGTATCCCTGCGACTGTATCCAACTGATCTTATAGTAAAATGTATAGCGTTGTAGAAAAAAATTTTTAATGTAATTTTGATTTGGTGCTAATAAATTTCAAAGACAATATTAGTTTGTTAATATCTTTCATGTTTCAACAAATAAAATATTTAACTTTAGGCGAGATGAATGCTGTTAAGTTACGGTGATGAAGTATCCAATATTTCGAGAAACTTTTAATTCATTTCAAGGTTGAAATCAACGTAGCACTTGCCTTGATCATAAAAAATAAATAAAATGTAAGTCAAAATATCTTTTTATCGGGACAATCAGTTGATATTGTCAAAAATATAATTGATAAAACATATACTTTTATACTATCACCTCGGCTCCTCTCAAAACCGATTACTTCGCAAACTCGTAAGTAGTGGCTTGCGATAGTGACAACTTGATATGCTTCTAACTTTATTATAAAAAATGTGAATCAAACTACTTTCTAAGCGACTCATGGTAGCAGAATAGTAATTTGTAATCTTGTCCAAGAGGAGAATTCTGCTACTGTCAAAAGAAGTTCACAAATTCATCTAAAAAATTACAGACAATCTTTCTGTCCACATCAAAGCATATTAAGACGGATTATTTTTGCTCGAAAGGACGAGAAACAATAATCACGAAAAAATTTAATAGATAAAGGTCACTGTACTAACCCGCTTGTGTTTTAACGCGGCACTGGAATGTTAAATTTGAAAATCGCTCTTTGTTCTCGAAGATTCAAACAAGCTCCTCTACTTCACCGGTTTCCATAAGTTATACAACAGTAAAATCGATCAAACGCC